TATATATATATATATATATATATATATATATATATACCTTCAAGAGTCGCTTCGAGTGGGACGGATCGCAGGTTGGCAGGCTTCATGTTTTCCACTAAAAGCGAAACGACCTCATCTGCATTTCCTCTTAACTCGCGGAGAGCCAAATACAAATATCCTGGCCCGTGCGTGGGGAGCATCTCTTGCAGTTGCCTGAATGCCAACCCTTTCATACAGCGTCAGCGCCTTAAAATATCCACAGACGGTGTTCAACACAGCCCGTTCACCATCAAGCCAGCACTGCTGGGTTGATACTTAGGCAAAAGCCTCGCCTACCAGCGTACCTTACAGTTTCGGCATCTGCTGAAGTCAGAACCAATGAGGTCTTCGCTTCAAGGGAAGCTGCCGGCTGTTGCGTGGTTTCACCTTCACCCTGCAAGCAGCAACCAAACCTGCAACATACCTACATTAATTCTCCTGTATGACTTGCATGACGACCAACAGCAGAAGACAGCGGCTGCAGCGGCGGCTGAACCTATCCTGGATGGGGAGCGAATGGTTCATCCTAACTGGGCAACGCCATTACCAATGTCGATGGCATCGTGACGGCCTTGGGGGTTGACAAAATTGACTCAATGTAATCTATCTGATCTTCATTCCTATGAAACACGAGAATTTCAAGTTCCGCAATCTTAACCCGAGTTTAAATCACGACTACCTTCTCATCTACATTCAGTGAGTGCACCCCTTTAGGTGGTCAAGCATTGGAGCAAGGATCTGAGCAAAGCCTGTGGCAGGAAGGTCTCAACGCTTACACATTGGCTACACGCCACTGCTGCAGCAAACGAAGGACCCCGCTAACTTCCAGATCGCCATTGAGGCATTCGGTGGTGTCGCCGTTCGCAGAACAATCCTAAGATTTTGCAGATACAAGGAATGCCAACATCCTGGAGCTTCAGCCCGTCTCGTCTCAGAGCATTCAGCCCTCCCGAAGTGGCTTCGCGCTTACCTCAAATAGCTGAAGAAGAGATGAACCCCAATTTTGCAGCAGTTCTTCTGCCTTTAGCTGCAGGCGCCTACTAGGTCGCCTGGTACTCCCAGCTCCTAGCTCCTCACGGACATCCCTGCTTTGGGCTGCTGCATCTCCGACTAAACAGCAACACGCCAAGGTCCGAGCCCTAATAGCTGCCTGCTGAAGGCTTGGCGGCAAAAGAGGTGTGGATCGTGAAAACCACGGCGGGCGCGTCTGAAATAACCCATCAACGGCTCCCTACAATATTAAGTTGAACTTTTGTGGGCATTCGAGCTATAAGACTATTGTGTGAGCTGATCCTGAGAGCGATCCTTGGAAGATGCACGTTCGATATGGAAGCGGGGATGCAGGGCAAGTGCTTACAAGTGCTGCGCAAACGGCTCTGAGGGGAGCAGAGAAAGGAGACTGGGCACTTGTTGGGAGCTCCGGCTCTTTGAGGTATTTCAGCACCGCCTCTACTGCGGGCAGTGAGCAGTCCCCACTTTGCTTTCTATCCCACAACTCCAGCGCAAATGATACCGGCAGACAGAACGTTGCTACGCGTAACACCGCGAGAACCTCGATTAAAGGCTGCAGAGTTAAAGCAGCAGCCTCCTGCCAGGACGGCAGACAACCGTGGCCCCCATCTGCCGACAACGGGAAATTCACTAGGGGGCAATCCGGCCGTCGGCTCAGGGTATCCAAAGACCTCTCGGAAGCTTCCAGAGCAGTGAGTACAGATTCTCGCAGTTCCGAAACGAGCCGTTGCCGCTTTGTGGGCTTCAGCGATGCCAGAAGCGTAGCAGCGACTTCACAGCATAACGATGGGTCTGCTTCTTCCCAGCAAAGACAAACATCCAGGCAGGCCGAACATGGCACCAAGAGCAGCTGCTGCAGCTGTTGCTCGAGCAGGTGCAGCCTCGACAGCCTCAGAAAGACCCGCAGTAACAGCCTGCCCAACACATAAAGGAGGCAAGTCAGTGAGACGTCACCATATAACTGACCGTGTATACAGTCTACGATAACTGCAGGGGGACTTCAGAGGCAACGGATGATGCGAAAAAACTTGGTCCTCCCTACTTTTGCGTCGGGCTGGGGAGAGGAGAACCCTGATTGGAGTGGCATTCATACGCGGTCGGAAGCCGCAACAACAGATCCCTTAGCCACTTCTGCAGCGAATAGTCGTCTTCCAACTGCCTTTTCAGAGCATCATCCCGCAAATGCAGCAGCAGCAAGGCGGTTGCCTCGACTTGAGCTGCATGCAAGCACAACTCGCATCTACAGGGAATCTATGTGCTCCAGAACCTCTTCAGTCCCAGTTCACTTGACAACAGTTAGGCTGTGAAGCGGGCAATATCTATAGAAATAGCACTCTTGCCATTCATCTGTCCCCGTACCAAGCAGTTCGCTCCGTTCATGAGCTGGTAATCTCTGTCCAAGGCGCCACACCTCCGGCCAGCTAACCTCTAAAGTCCCCATAACAAAAGCGCTCTTCTGTTGATTTGATTTCCATATGAGTAGTCAAGATGACGACAGTGGCACGGAAGAGTTAGTTGAGGAATCCCCCTATTCCATGTATAAAAATTCCGAACAGTAACACTAGACACAATCACACACCTAAGCAGAGAAAGAAGGTTGTTAGAATAAGGACGATGCCAGCATTGGCAGTCGGTGACATGCAAACTAACGCAGAGGCAAGCTGCTACGTGCATGTGGCACGTGGGGCCCCAGCTGGCCAGTGACGCACAAGAGCTGTGGAACCTGCTCTCTCCTCCCAAAATCAGTACTTTTTTAGATTTGGATCATGATGTTGTTTCAATTCGTGTGAGTGCAGTCTAAGCATTCTGAACCTTTGTGCACAACCTACAATGCCACATTGCTCAACTTGCTCATCGGCGTACCTATGGCCCATCAAGTATGAGCATAGATGAGCATGAGCATATAGTTCAGACACGCTTTTGTAGCGGCATTCTGCTAGGCGCGCATGGTTACTTGCGTACGGCGGTTTAAATGTGTAGCACAGCGTGGTACAGGGTCATGCTGCAACTCAACGCGCAGGATGGCTCCATGTACATGCTTACAAACTAACCTTCTTGGCTGGATACACTGAAACTATAGACCAGTTTGCCTACTATTTCGATGATGGCTGGTGTCCTGGTAACTTTTTACAAGGATTAGACCTCCTCCACGTTGCAGGTAGCCCGCAGACATCGGCATGCTGACTGAGCTGCCTTATTGTGACGGACCAACATGCTCTCCCCTGCAACTCTACTGCCACAGTCGTGCACGATTGCACAAAGTTTTATGCATGGTGAGCTTCTTCTTGAACAGCCCAGAACAGTAAGATAACTCCTAATGAGGAGCTGACCGGTAGACACTACAGGGTAATTCTGCTGCTCGACCCCTTCTGCACAGGTCTGACGGAAATTACCCCCTACGGGAGCACCAAAATTCTAATTTGTGACTTACAGCCAGAGCAGAGAGCGGGCAGACGATACGCCTGAACACATGTCAAGGAAGACTCGTGATGCCCCACCAAACGTATGTAAGTCGCGGCGATTCAGGCGGCGTACAGCGTGAGGTTCTGCTGTTCCTACGATGCCTTGTTGTAGTATCTCAACAAAACAAATCGTTGAAATAGGTCAAGTGTCATGGGGTGCGCAGAGTGCTGCACAATTGCAGCATCCAATTGCGGGAAGGTGCGTTGTAGCCTCGTGGTGGCGCCGTTTGTACCAACTGGACGACGCTGAACAAGTCTTTAATGCACCATCACTTTCATCATTATCCAAGCTTACCTGTTGATGTGTGTATAAGCTGTAAGACGTATACCTTTATCCGCTGCACTACCCCCGTATCCCCGTCAACTCCAACGCTGCCGGCTTGGAAATCATTAGGTAAGCAATCAGCTACACTAGTGCCTATGCGGTTGGCAGGTACACTGTAGAAGGCCACTGCAGGTAACCCTATATCATCTAAACCGCAGTAACTCGCTTTCTGTGTCACCTCCACCGAGTTGGATACATTGATACATTGGCGAAGGTTCCACGTGAGTTGACGTTCTTTTTTTCTGCATCCTCTCCAAGCAGCACACAGTTGCCAACTCTGGGCAAAGGTAACACGGAAAGAGGGCTAATGCACGAAAAGCCTGCGCCTGCTTCTTGCCTTGTGAGGCATGACATTTGGACACGAAGGTTAGTCATCTACTTGACCACACTTTGTAGACGAGCTACATGTTCATCATGCTCTGTCCGATCTTGGCAAGTCTGAAGTTGTTGCAAGAAACCGTGTCCTGCCCTAGTAGGCAAACGGCACTCAATCAGACGTTCTTAATCGTCTACAAAGTTCATGCATACGGCCAAGAATGCTTGATTTTTGCCCCGTGTGGTTTTCTTGCACCGTGTCTAACGCGGGTTCTTTATCTTATCCGACAACGACAATGAGCTTATGTGGAGCCTAACTACTTAAGATGAGAGTTAACTAACTGCAACTGACCACCCTCCCCAGCCTTTAGACGTCCTGGGCTGGACGTCGGCCATCCATTACTTGCAACGGGCATTGCTCCAAATCTTCGTGCAGCACAGCCGCTTGTACAAGCACAATCAGACTTTCCTAGCGCAAAACAAAAACACTGTAGAGCATTGCTGAGAACTTCTGTTTGCGTAACGTTTGTCTCTTAGGGGCTGGTATGCGTTAATGTCCGCACTCCAGACAGGCACACTAACATCGCCTATATTATGTTTGGTCTGTCCTCAGACGCTCGCAGATGCAGCACACACCCTTGTGTGCCAATCTGTGCCCTGCAGTTGGGTACTCTGGAAGACCCCTGGTTTTCTTTGGCTTCTACCGTGCACGTGAGAACGTACTGCTCCGCTGAGAATCTCGTCCTCGGTCACAAAAAGAGCCTAAACCCACTCGCTCCATCGTTGTATTGACAACTTAATGACCCGCCAGAACATGACCGTTCGTTTCGAATAAAGCCTATGTGCGAAGTGAAGCAGGAGGGGATAATAGGCGGCCTCCACTCTTCGTCTGGTATTACAAGAGCTTGCTGTCAACGCTGTGGTGCTTCACCTGTGGACAACTGTTGAGCTTATACATACAAGCGAACGCATGAGTACCTAAGGAGTAGGATGAACTCAAATAAAGCAGTGCACAGTTACAGAACAAATGGCGTGAAGGGAAGTAAAAAGAGCCCTTTATATATTGCGTAGTGAAGTTGTACTGGGCCAGCTGGAAGAGCCACCGAATAGCCCTCCCATTATCGTACTCTTGCAAAAAGCAATTAGACGGGTTTGTTGAGGGTTGAAGATGGGCTTGAACAGTGAAGTACCTGCCACGTACGCAATGCTGTCAATTGTTTTGTCCACACCAGATAATACAGGGCTCTTTCTTGACTACTGGGTAGTCCGGCTCTCTCTCTGTGTAAAACTGTGTAAGAAGTAGGCGATATTTTGGGGATTTTTCGAATTGCTGGCTTGATACGAAAGCATTATCCCAATCTCTGCGTCATTGGCATCGACTGTTGAGAAGAAGATCTTGGTCCCACAAGTATTGGTGATGTTATCAGGTGTCTAAGGACGCCTGTAATGGCTGCCCCCTCACCCTGTGTCCAAGTAGGTTGTTTCCGTTTTTGAGTAGATCCGTGAGAGGTTCAGCGATACTGGTGAATCCAGGAATGAGACTGCGGTAGGGCATTACGAGACCGAGGAACTTCTGAGCTTCCCTGCGTCTCTGAATGGGTTGCAGCCACCACCGAATGGTCTGTGTTTTCGTTGACTCAATTCCCCCTGCCGAGAGGCGGATCCACAAGGGGCAAACTGGTTGCTCGCATACGAATGCATTTACGAGCAAATGCTTGTCGTGTAGCACTTGCAAGATACTTTGATGAATGGGTGACGTTATTGTATTCACCCGTAGCATGCAGGATCACTGACAACAAGTGAGAAGTGTCTTGGGTGCATACAAAGACACTACCTGTGCATCTGTTCACCCGTCCTCTATTGCTTGGGCCCACAAAATCGTGATTGACCTGTCGCTGCGGCTCGCAGGTACATTGACGAGCCCAATGGGAATACTGGCGTACTCCGATTTGGGAATATCAGCATGAAACACATTCTTGTGCCTTGCACTGGGATGGATTGGGATATGTTCGAAATCATCAACAAAGCCAAATGCTGAGTAGCTGAGTATACTGCTGAAACCTGCGAAGTGGCAAAGCATCTCGTCAAAATGGGGTGCTTTGTTACTCAACGAGACCTTTGGGCGCCGCCATCGCCCCTTGTACCCCCACCACATTGTTGTTGCGCAAAGCCTGTCTAGTAAGACTGAGTTAGGGTTCTAGCTCTCACTTCAGAGAGACTTGCCAACATTACACAGAAATGTGCTATAGACAGCTAGCGCTCTGCACGGGCATTCCACAGCCCATTGGTAATACCCGTGCAGTTTGCGTACACGGAAATGGCTATGCCAGTTTTAGGGGAGTGCGGGTTAAATCACTTGCGGAGGTGACCATCTCGCTGAACATCAGCATACTAGGCAAAACTTACATACAGGATCCCCTGCTACGCTACACCATTGGCGCTCTCTAGTAGAGGCACAACTCCATTGGGTGCACATTTTCTTTAATACACGTCATATATTTTCACAAAGAGCTGTAACTGGAGGAGCTGAGCTGCAGACAGGGCTTTGCGTACATCCGGGTGTGCCTCTAGATCAGCGTCCACAGTGGCTCCGCATGGGGCACGCGGTCCAGCGGTGCGCATGGCACGCTGGGATTGCGAAAGCTGATGGTAGACACGTGCAATTTGAAAAAGTATTTACGGAGATAAGTAAGGAGATCGTGATATAACGGAGGGGAAAAGGACTTCAACATTTGTGAGTGGGCATGACAAGACGGCCGTGATTGAGCGTGAGAGAAGCAGCCAGAAGCACAGAGTCTCTGCCCGGCTATTTCAGCGGTACATCCACCTTGTTATACATTCACTCATCGCTCTACTGTGGAGCCTGCAGATTTGAGGGGAACCATATCTCTATGGCGCTGCCCGCCCCGCGCCTCCCTCGGGGGCCCCACAGCTCCACAAAGGCATTTGCCTCCTCCTTGTTGTCCTGAGCTGTCTTCCTCCCCCAAAGCCTCACAGAGGCAGTAGCAGATCGTTTGTTCTCCCAAGGGTTGCTGGTTCAGCAGCTGCTCTTGGACTGCTCGAGGCCCCGCTGGGCGGGCGAGTTTCTGGGTTTTTTGCTCCCCCATCTCAATCGCACTGGGTTTATCAGGTTGCATGCTGCATGATCCGGTGAGGCTGTTCCTCTTTTTGTGGGTTACAAGGTGCCCCCCTTGCACATCGCAGCAGATATATATCGCTGCCCCTTCCGAGCCGCCGCAGACAAAGCATAGAGTGCCGCCCCTGCGTGAGGGCCTAGAGGCCCCTCTAAGCACCCGGGGCTTTTAGGGTAGGGAAGGTATGCAGTCATGGCGTGGAGTAGCGGGGCTCCCAAAGAGGCAGCCGTAGGGGAGGGGGCTTCGGCGCCATCTCCTGGTCCCACTGTGGCCAAGGGAAGCCCCCAAAGGGGGAGTCCTTCTACGGTACGAGAGGAACAGCCACTAGGGGCTTTGGATGCGGTTTACAAGGATGTTTCAGGCGCGCAGTCTCCTCCTGCACCTGAGGGAGGGAAGCCTTCTGGTGGCGCTTCGCCAGGGGTGTCAGCAGACTGGCAAGGTGCACCCACGTACAATGCAGCGATAGGGTACGCGCTTCAGGGCCCGCTAGCGCGGGAAGGGTTGCTGCCTGCTCGGGTAGTGTATGAGACGCCGCTGCAATCCCAAAGTCGCGAGCGAAAAGGGGGTGGGGGGGATAGCTTGACGAAGTGGTGGCTGTTGATGTTGATGACGCTGAACACCTTGGCGTCTTGTTGGGGTCTTTGGGAGCTGCGGCAACGCACAGCTCAAATTATTCACGCTCAGGAGGCGGCCTTGGGGGAGCTTACGGACACGATCCGACGACGCGTGCTGCCTATGTGTGACCAGCACCTGTTCCCCGACGCCTTGCTGCCTTCGCCAATGGACTCTCTCACGCGGCAGCTGTTTCATGACTGGGCAGGGACCCGAGATGAAGGCCCCGTTGTCCAAAATGCTGAGGAGGAGGCCTTCTCAAACAAACACAAGCCTCTGCAGCTGCCGCTCCACGCAGGCAACGCGGAACAGAGCAGACAGCGGCAGCCGGCGCAGCTGCCGGACTTCTTGCTGAGCCCGACGGTCCCTACGGGGCCTCCTCTAGGGTTCGTAGATATACCACCACATTCGCCTCTTCCACCCAAATGGAGCTCCTCCAGCGACCATCCGTAGCACAAGTCCTTCGTGTGCCACCCATAGCACAAGACCTTCGTGGGGTAGAGAGACCTCTTGAGTACAAGAGCTGGCGCCAAAGATGCATCGCGTGCCAAAGGCTCTTAGTATCGTTCCTTTGGCACTCCTTCAGGAGAAGACGCTTCAAATCCCTACCCTCAATCTTCGCTGCAAGGTCAGATGCTATATTAGCTGCTGCTATCGCTGTTGCGAATGCCAGCAAAGACAGCTGCAGCAAGGACTGCAGCGAGGACAGCAGCGAAAACTGCAGCAATGGCTGCAAAAGCGGCTGCAGCAAGGTCTGCAGGAATGCTTGCAGCAAGAGCCACTATGAGGGCTGCACGCTGCTGCACGTGCTGCAGCAAGGACTGCAGCAGGCAATGATGCAGGGCGGAGCGCCGAAGGTCTAGGTGGCAGGGTGGAGCCAGGTGCAGGTACAGGCTGGAGAAGGCGTCTCTCATCTCGTCTGCGTGGCTATTTTCCACGCGCAGCAGCACATCTTGAGTGCCTGCTTGAGGATTTAAGCACATATGCATACATAAGGTCCTTCAAGGACAGCGAAGGAGGCACGTGTCTCTATACGTCAGGGCCACGGGTGCCAGTCCCCCTGATCTGCACCCATCATTGGAACCTCACAAGATGGGGAAAGAACGGCACTAAAGACGATGTTTAGTTGTGACGAGACACAGTTTAGTTGTTTTACACATTGCTTCAACTGTGGTTGAACTTTGTTGAGTCGTTCGTACGTTTTGTTCGATTGTGAAAGTACGTTGTTTAGTTCTTCTGACTACTTGTAGGGCTCGAAGGGAACCCTTGAACCTAGGGGCGTAAGTCGCTTGTCTCAACAGACACTTTATTCAGTCGTTAATAGACCGTTCTGCGATGTCTACTTGTTGGACCAACGTGATGTTCTCTTGTTCTGGGATGTAGGCCACTCATGGTAGCGGCAAAGGCCGAACAGGAACGGGACGAATGCTAGGCTACCGTATGGAGTCTGTAGTAGGATAGGGATAAATCCTAGCTGCTTACAGTGTGTTTTGAAGACACGTTGTTCTGTGTGTAAACACAATGGCCGAACAGGAACCTGACGTACGCTAGGCTACAGTTTGAAGCCTCTAGTACGAAATCGATAGAGCCTGCCTCCGTACAGTGTGGCTTGAAATCACTTTGTTCTGTGTCCCGCTGTAGTGGCTTTATAGACATCCCGTTTATTCCTTGGGGGTCGTGCAGTTCAATTCCCCGAGAGGGACAGAGACACATGGAAGCGGCGCAGCAACCATTTGGGAATTTGATGGCCTCCCGTTGCAGGGGCCTTTTAAAAGGCACTTGCAGGAATTCTGCATGTTGAGGTCGCCGTGAACAAAGGCAAAGAGTAGGGTGCCTTCTTGTGCGGGTCCCGCATCTGCACAGGAGGGGTGACTTCGCCGTTGCTGATGGCAGCACTGGAACTACAGAAACCCTTGCATTCCGACACTGATTAAGTGAGTCCAATAATGAGTTCAATAGAAGATGAGTTAGTCAGGGATTTTTACTGCTTTAGCTAGTCGAAAAGCGGCGTCCATGCGCCTCTAGTTGTTGTCTGGCGGGGACTGTCTCCTCCACCGTCCAGGCCCCCGCCTCCGGTCTTCCCTATCTTGAGGGGCAAATGCAGGAGAATCTGCCTTCTTCTGCGTACAGCAGGGCATTTTGCTGCACATTAAAGTGCATTTCACATAAGTGCACTCCTAGTCCCGTCTTTTCCCCCTTCAATATCCCGGTGTGAGGCTACTGCAGCAGAGCCATGGCCGCCGACTTGGACAGCGGCTGGCCCTTCAGAAGGTCCCTGGAGGAGGACCCAGAAGAAGAAGCGGGGGTAAGGACTGTAGCTTTTACAAAAAGAGAAAAATAACCTAAATGAACCACCAGTACCAGCCAACTCTTGCCCCACATGCCACATTTACTAGATATAAAATTAAATAAGCAACGGGGCCTTATAACGAAACGCATACGGTAGCCCTTATACCGCACATTCAATTCCTCAGATTTGATAATGTCTTTACTTTAGACCAAAGTAGATCCTCCTTGGCTCTGTCCCAATATGCACTCCGGACGGACCCGTTCAGTAGGGGACTGGAGCCAGTCTGACCAAAAGCAATTAGGGTTTATACGTAGTGACACGCGCATCACGACTTGCAAATTGACCATCTAAATTCAAGACACAACACTGTTGCCTTCTATAGCATGGGGCAGGATCGCCATAGGCCGTAGCGTCACTTTGGCGCCTTCCCCAGCGCTGCTGCATCGCGGCAGTACAAGCGGCACCGCGTCGAAAACCCACCCCGAGCGGAAATAGTCCCATCTGTCAAGTGCTAGAAATGGTTACAAGGGCCGAAATACAGAGAAGGTGCCTAGCTGTAGTGAGCTAAGGGAGCCTACACAGAAAGCAGCAGAGGAATCCGTAGTTTGTTGGCAAGTAGCCAGGACACCGCTGAAGCCGACAGCGCCGGGATAGCATTTTGATTGCTGTCACCCTCGGGCCTGCCGGTGGCTTCTCCGCCCCCCGAAGTGGCAGAGCCTTGTGCCCCTTGCTGCTCTGCTGCTCTGTTTTCCTCGGATTGGGCTGCTGCAGTTTCCATCTTCTGAGGAGAGCGACGCATGGCTGAAAGACGGACTCAGTGGGCTGCAGCAGACGCCGCCAGATGGGCGGCTGGGAAATGTGTGTCTGTCGCTGGCCAGGAGGGGCCTGCGGCAGCTTGGTTTGCTGTGCGACTTCACCAAACTTTTGTTTCTGGATGTCTCCCACAATAAACTCATCAACCTTTACCCTATTCGCCTTGCAGCAAGCCTCGTTCGACTTGACGCTCAAAACAACCAAATCGAATCTGCTGCCGAACTCTCAGCAAATCCCAAACTGGAGCACGTCGATCTCAGCAACAATTATATTACCGCTCTAGGTGACTTGAAGAAACTCTAATCCCAAACTCCTAACATCCTAGTGTACCGCCTTCTGAACAACAGTGAATTAAACGTGACTTCGTGGCTTGAAACAGAAGAAAGGAGGCCACTGCAGCTGGTATGTATTGCATGGAGAGGCGAACCGGCAACATACGACGGGTTGATGCTGGGGATGGGCAGATTTTTTTTCCGTTGTTGATTTGAATTAATGCGGGCAGGAGACTGGCAGTTTAATGTCCGTCTGCGTGTGCTGCGACTCGCCGGCAACCGAATAATTTCCCTGAAGGAAGGCAGCTTAGAAAAGAACAGCTTGCTCAGAGAACTGGATATAAGTAACAATGCAGTTGACTCGCTAAATTATCTGCCCCATCTCAAGTGTCTAGACACACTCAATGTCAGCAACAACAAGCTGAAAAGTCTCGAAGGCATCCAACGAGCCCCCCATGTGGTCGTGCTCCATGCAGAGGTCTGCCGCTCCTTCCCTCTGTTGTTGGTACCAACTGACTTGGGCCGCTGCCTTGGAATGGACTACAGTGAATTATGTGAGAGATTGTCCACGTCTCTTGCCTTTTTTCTGAATAGGGCAATAAGTTGGAGTCGCTCGAGCCGTTGGGACTCGGGAAGAATGGCCTGCTGCGCGAGTTGTACATACAGGAGAACCTTGGCCTGGAACAACCACTGCAGCTATCGGCGCTGAAGTCCGTCGAGGCCCTGCAGACCTTGCACGTGTCCCCAGGACCAATGGTATCCTTTCCTCACTGGCGGTTGCACTGCGTACACATGCTGCCGCAGCTGCTTCAGATCGATGCTGTCCGTGTGACCGCGGAGGAACAGGTGAGAACCTGCTGCCTAGACAGGGTTCTTGCGTCCCCTTCTATACACCCCACAGCGAATGCAGTTGCTGCGGCTTCTGCTGCTCTTTTGCTGTGCTTTGCAGTTCATTGCAGCCGAGGCATTTGGGGACTTGCTGTACGCCCAACGACGAGTGTGGGAGGCGCTTATTCCCGATGAGCCCTTCGTTGATCGCCGGCTCTTGAAGCTGAATGAGCCAATTGCAACAGACCGAACAGACCCTGTGGCGTCTCCAGAGGGTTAACACGCCCCACAACCACTCCCGCTACTTCCGCTACTGCTGCCGCCACTGTTGCTGTTGCTGATAGCAGTGGGAAGCAGCTTACAGCGAGTGGTGCAAGCAAGTGGCAAACATTTTTGGCGGCGTTTGAGCCACGCACTTACGGCAGTTCCGAATACGTCTTGAGGCTTCTTCTCCGAACTCAAACTCAACGTCGGAGGGAGTAGACCCCTGTTTAGGTCTTAAGGCTTCACTAGAAGCCTCTACAGATAATGGGAACAGCGGCTAGGGCGCTTAAATGTCAAGTGGCCGGCGCCTCGAGCTCAACTAAACTAACGCAAACTACCTGAACTGAAGATGAACGTCTGTTTGAATATAAGCGTTGGATACACGAATGAGAAACTGCATTGGAACGTCCGCTGGGATGCCCGACAAACCAAACGTTGGCGGGGATGTCCGCTAAACCAAAATATTCTTCTCGCCAGTGAAGTGGCCTCATCAGCCCCTCCTGGTGAGAACAATCTGAGCCTGCACTTTCCCTGTATTCGAAAAATTTGCGTTAAATCTAACTAGCTAATCGCCACACCAAAACGTCTTTCAAGCCCCAAAACGTAGCTGCGACCCCCCGGAAATTGTGCCCAAATTAGACGGCTCCCATGCCACTGTTGGCGCTGCTGTACGGGGTATGGTGCTGCAACCGCTGCTACAGCTGTTGTTGCCACCAATGCTGTTACTGGTTTCAACGTTTGTCTATGGCGGAACATTTTTTGGAGTTTCTGCAGCAGCCTCTGAACCTAGCGGAGTTGCTGCCAAGGTTGTTGTTGCTGTTGCTGTTGTTGCAGCGGCAGCAGCTGTTGCTGTAGATGGCATGGATGCGGTTGCTGCAGCTGCTGTTGCCGCCGCTGTTGCCTCTGGAGACAGAGTAGCAAGCGCGTAGCAATATGCCGTGTAGTATGCCATGTACGTTGCTGCATCGTCAGCGGCGCTTGCTGCTGCCATCTGTTGCACCAACATCTGCAAGTGCGCTGCGGCTGCAGGAGAAAGCTGACCCTGTGCCGCAGCAAAATATGCAGTATTTGAAGGGTCAGTGGCAACAATCGCAGTTGCGGTACCTGTTGCCGCCTCCGCCTCCGCTGCAACTGCTGGTGCTACTGCAGCCCCGACGGTGTATGGGGCAGCTGCAACCGCTGGAGTAGTTGCTGTAGCTGCTGCTGCTGCTTCTGCTGTACCAGTGGCTAAGTTGCCAGTGGAACTCTTGCTGACACCGTTTCCTGCTACTGCAGCACCAGCAGCAGCTGCTTCCACTCGCTTCAGATAGTCAATACCCTGATTCTCCTGCGTTTCTCCCGACAGCCGCTTGCACTCCTCCAGGAGCTTCTGCTTCCGCTGCTGTAGGTGGTGGTTCAGCTGCAACCGCGCCATGAAACTCCGAGCCTGCACAAACACGATGAACATCAAGACTAATTGCCGCAGAAGATGTAGCAGCAAATGGAGAAGCACCAGGCTGTGGGCAATATGGGCGTGCGTGGCAGCGTAGAGCAGGGGCTGCTACGGACGCTTTGGGCACCTGCCAATGCACCAGCAAACAACTGCCCCTGCGCGTCTTGTTTATAGCTTTGAATTGCACAGAACTACTGCTGATTAAGGCCGACCAGTTCATGAGTTGGCCCTGGCAGAGGCTGGGGCTTGAGGAACCCCTCCTTTTTAATCTCCGCCTCCACACACTTTAGCACGTATCTGCAGCAGTCAAGTGCACACAAACTCCACCTCCAGCTGCTGCTGCCTCCGCTGTTGCTTCTGCTGTTCCAGCTGCAGTCTATACTTTTGCAACTGCTGTGCTTTTTGATGTTGCTGCTGCTATTGTATGTGCTTCTGGAGCTGCTGCTTCTCGCCTCGACAATCACCTGAAGTATCGCAGGTCCATGGAGGATGTCCGCAGAAAGGGGAAGGGAGATGCATCGTCTTCGTACTGCAGCGCACGAAACTCCACTTGCATCCCCACAAATCAGTCAATGCATCTGCATGGAAGCTCGAAGGCAATTGCCTGTACATACGTGCATCAACTCATTGCAACTGATTACATGCATGCGTGCATAACGACTGCCTGCACACAACCCTTCAGAATGGTCCCAAACTTGCCGTCTTTGCGTGCTGAACAAGAGAGAGGTCCCCCGTTGCTAGCAGTTGGTGCCCCAACTGCTGTATGGCAAGAGCGGAAGCCTAAACAGGCACACAAGCGCAGCGGATCCTCCAGCTCAAACACCGAACAGCGAATCCCAAACCATAGCCACTACTCGTCTAGCTGGCCTTAAGCAGCAGACGCAGCAGCCCAGCTTCATTGGTTTGGGCTTCGGATTCCGCTTTAGGTCTCTAGCGCTTAAGGTTTAGGGAGGCGGAGACCCCATGTTTAGCACGCCGTTCTTTCCGACGCGAAACTAATGGTACAACTACCACTTTGGGGTGAGTGTGCCCCAGAACGACCAGCAACATAAGCAAAAGCAGCGGATTCAGCAGAAAAAGCAGTCGTAACAGCAGATAGAGCAGCAACAGACTTAGCACTAGACGGATGGAGGCCCAGTGGCACACCTTGGAAAGCCCTAATTTGTTGTTGGGCTGGGCCCACGGGGGCTTATCCGGCAGTGCCTCCATCATGGTGTCGATGTCTTCTTCTTCAGGACCCTCTTCCCGTTCAGTGGAATTATTCTGACGCTTTTTCTTTTTCAAGGCAAAGCGGGTTACGCGCAGAGAGCGCCACATGGCCGTCAGATCCTTAGAATTGCTGTAGCTGTCTCCTTCGCCTTCGGAGTCCTCAGCTTCCTCCTCCGCGTTGTCATCCGCATCGTCCACTGCACCTGCTGCTGCAGATAGGGCTGTTTGGGTGGCTGCCGCTACTTCTGCTGGCGCTGCAGGGGGCAAAGGCAGGGTAGGTGGGGGGGGAGGAGGCCTTCTCTTTAACGGTGGTGCTTGGGCGGCGCTAGCACTTAAAGCATTGTCCACTTGTGCCTGTGTCTGACGGTGCCGTTGCTCGTTTTCTTGCTGCTCCTGTTGCTGACGCGGTTGTTGCAGCTCATGCTGCAGTTTCTTTTCCTCTTCCTCCTTCGATTGCTGCTGAGGAGACACAGGTTCCTCGTCGTCTTCGTCGCTTCCATATGAGAGCAGCAGCCCCAGCCCGCCATCAAGGTCGTGCTTAGGTTGCTGCTGCGGCTGCTGTTGCTCCTGCTGCGGTTGTGGAGTTTGTTCCTTCTCCGATTGTAGCTCTTGGTTTCGCTGCAGCTGCAGCTGAATTTCGCCCCCTTCACGTTTGACCTCGGCAGTTTGATCCTGTGGTTGGTGCTGCTGTTGATGCTGCTGCTTGTGCAGGTCCGCTGCACAGCCAAGGGAATAGGCGAACTCAAGCATAGCCCTGATGCGCGGGGGCAACAGCGCTGCCCCTCTTGTGACCAAAGAGTATCCGTGCTTTTTCAGCCAAGTGTAAAAGGGGTGCAGGCGATGCTTCGAAGACAAAAAGGGCAACCGCCGCTCCTCATCTAACAGCAAACGGAACTCCATACGCTCGCCTTCCTGCAGCGCAACAAATTACCCAATCCAGCCGTAGAGGCAACAACAGAGCCAGCGACAAAATAATCACATGCGGACAACTTGCTGCATGCCATAGGCCCCTCCGCACACCGCCCTACAGGACTCGGCCGCATCAAGACTGAACCTCAGATACCTTACACACTGCATACCCTGAGCTCTCAACGTAGAATTTCTGCAAGCCTCAACGCTTAATCGTCTATCTCATCAACGCTGAATCCCCTAAACCCTCAACGCTTGATGCATCCCACCTATAAGTCTTAAACTTTGAATAGCCTAACAATTGAAGGTTGCATCCCACAAGCCACAAACACTCAATCCTCTAGACCCTAAATTCTGGGCAGTTGTTTGCTGTAGCTAACCTCGCGGACGAAGTGCGCTGTCCTCTCAACCACCAAATATTCCCTGATGTTTTCAGGGAGGCACATGTCGGCGGGCAGGTCTGGGAACGGGGGAACGAAACAGCTGTTACTCTGCTCCTGCTGCTGCCGTTGGCCTTGTTGCTGCTCATTCTGTTCGCCAGGCTGTTGACGATTCTGGTGGGAAGACTCGTCTACATGGACATCTACGCACGTTGCTCCAGAGCTGCTGCTTTCTGGAGGCGTCTCTCTGGCTGTCTCTTCATTTTCTGTTGCAGTTGCCGCTGTAACGCCATGTTCGCGCTCCTCCGTTAGGGAGGAAGCCGTCTGGTTAGCTGCAGCAGCAGCAGCAACAGGCAACACGAACGGAGCAGCAACTGGCATTTGCACTCTGAGCCCCTGCAGCACGAGTTGCAACTGTGACCATGCCATCAACAACAGCAGCAGTGGCATTATTAGCAGGTGCAGGCCGAATTAGCTGGAGCAGCAGAAGCAGCAACAACAGCAGAGTCTGCCACAGATTGCAGTGCACCTCACCAGCAGCGGCATCAAGTGAATCTGGGGGCGGGACAGCACTGTAGTCGGGGCTGCTCACAGCGCACGCGTATACTCCACAGCCAAAGCTGCTAACTGGCATATATGGTTGCTTTTACGTCAAGCGCAAACTCCAGTGAATACAATGGGAAACGAATCGTTGAGCACAAAGACAGTCTTACCCTTCCGCCGTTGGGGCCCCGTCACCGAGCTGCGCTGCAGACACTGCTACTGCTGTCATCGTGCGCTGCTTCTTCCGCTGCTTTTGCTGCTGCTCTAGCGTGGGCGTCCACTGCTGCTGCTCTTCCTGCTGTGAAGGCAGCTCGTCAGAGAAGGCCGAACGACGCGGAAGGTCCTGAAGGTAAGTAGAAGACAATGGCAAACAATCATTTCCCTCTCATATTTAAAAGCCAACCGTTTCGAGTTTACGCCTGGGATCTAGGGTTTACCTCGTAGCGCATGTCTTCTATCTCGGGGCTCTCTTGCAGCTCCGCCAGCCTGCGCTCTTCGCTGCAGTTCTGACGTGCGAAGGACGCAACATCTCCCAGAAGCAGCCTCACATCATAACTGCAGGAACGGCAGCAGCAGCGGGTAGCAGCGACAAGGGTCTGCACCCGAGCAGAGCACGTTCCGCTTTGAGGGACAAGCATGGAGATGAGAAGGTGTGAGGAAGACACTGGTAGGGATGACACAGAGGTGGCCGAAACAGAAAGAAAAGGAGAGCCGCAGAAGGGGAAATGCCGAAGGAGGAAGGATGAACAGAGAAAAACAGTCAACATAAAACCGAGTGTAGGAAAGAACGCCGAGCACACGGAACAAAAAGTCAACTATAATTGATACGCCAGGAAAGGTAAACTACTAAAGTACAGACCAGCAGCACTGACAAAGCACTAAAAAAAAATACAGAAATGTCCCCACCGATCCACAAGCACTTCTTCGCCCTCCACCTCAATCTTTATGAGGCGACTGTCTTCTCCAGATGTGGAATCCCGGCTGCTGCCGAAGCGGCAGGCAGTTCCTATTACACAGAGACCGCCGCTGCTGCTGCCGCTGCTGCTGCTGCCGCTGCTACCGCTGCTCCCATTGCTGCTGGAAGAACTCCCAACCTTCCCCCACACGGCGGAAGCCATTCTTGTTGGACTACTCCAACACGTCTCCCAATATCACAAGCCCTGAGCAGCCGATTGCCAATACAAAGCCATGGAACCTAAACCCTTAATAACGATTGAATATCTCCCACCCTAACTCTTAGATTTGCAGTTCATCTTGCGGCAAAAACAGGGGAGCCTGCCGGCCTAACACGGAGTAAAGTCGGGTTGGAAGAGATGCATAGGACGCCTTAGCAGATAAATCAAACGTAGACTCAATTAAGTGAGCACAGGAGCAGACAGGTGCCGCCGCGGTGCTGGGATTCGTGTACACCCATTCCCCCGAAACGGGCATCGACTTCAAACACAGTTCCAATTCAGAACACTGAGTCCATTTATATTTATATGGCGGCAATAAGTTTAGCCCTTGAAACACATGGAGAGGTAAGGGCGTGGAGGGCCCCCTGGGGGCCCCGTCCGCGCAAAGTCGCGAGAGGAGCGGTAGCCCTCGTGCTGCATGCAACTGCATGCAGCATCGATATATGCGGTGCTTTTAAAATGCTGAAGCTGCAAAAAGAGGTACCTATTGCTGCTGCAGCAGGAGGGCTTCCTCTATGTCTTCCGCAGCGAAAGCTCTCTCTATTACGCGCAACAACACAGACAAGTGCCGTCAGCCTATCCTCGATTGTGTCTGAAGTAGCAGCTACTTCAGAAACTGGTGCTAAAGCAGATCTTCTGCACTGTGAAATGCTGCAGGGCCCGCTGCTGCTGCTGTTGATGTGGCAGCAGCACGTGGGTTTGCAGCTCTCCTTGGAGTAGCTGGGACAGACCTGGCCGCTTACCCCTGCTACCTATCTGTAACCTGCCTGCCGATTCCTAGTTGCTCTTCCTTGCTGCGTCCTTTTGAAATGTTTTTTGTCATTGAGCGCTGGGAATCGGTCGCCCTGCGGCCCTCCCAGCTGGGCCCCGAATATCTCGCCAGCGTAGAGGCGCTGCTGAGGCAGCAGGTAGAAGGCAAGTGCCTGCAGAGTGTGGGGTGAGCTCCTAGCCGGTAATGTGCAGTGTTTGCACACTCCCAACACCTCAGGCTGTCGCGTTTGAGTGTGGGACAGTGCATGTGTGTCCGTTAAGGCTTGCTCGGCTTATACACACTTCAGCCCGTCTGGGGTTTCCGCTTTTTCCTGTTCTTCTTGTCTGGTTTTCCCCTTTCCTAGGTTTCCCTTCTTTTGTTGCTGCCTCTGCCTGCTGTTTTCTGGTGTGTGTGTCCTGATTGCCGCATCTGGTTTATGGTGGGGGTTGAGAGGTTAGTGCTTGTGATGCGATATATTACGCAGATATGTCGTCTGCGTAATTCGCGTACTTCAGCATCTGCCAGGGAGAATTCAGGATTCCACAGGACTCGTCGTTGTAGCCGCGAAGTATCAAGCTATTGTTTTTAAGCCATTTAAGGAAGAGGTCAGCAGTCAGAACACAACACAATACCTGCATCAGTCGCTAACAAGGATGAACTGCAAGATACATGCACATTTTGCGCCTGTAGTATTCTTCTAGCGCGTTACGTATCCACACGTTTACGAGCTCGCGTTCATGTTTACTGATTGTCCATCCCTCTGCTACATCTCACGTACATCTGCACGCGTGCCAACTTAAATATCGACACTGCTACATGTTACAGCATTATTTGCCTCCACTTCTACATCTCTTCACTGGTCCTAAAACACAATTTGTTCCTACTTCGGCCCACGTCACTCTCTCTAGGCCTCACGAAAAGGTGGCCAAGCTCCACGCAGCGCCACCGTAGGCAGCGCTGCCCGGCGCTTGGCCACCTTTGCGTGCCGCAAAATAGACTTAACCAAAAACAGCACGTGTAGAAATTAGCGGAGCACCTATTGAAAGGCAGCATAACTATAGCTCTTGGGCTTGGCAACTTGTACTTTGAGGCCAGGGCTCAGAATTTACGGCGTTGCTTGATGTGTCTTTACACCTTGGACAGTGTGGCTAATCGGTAGGCGGTTTAGAAGAAGTTCAGTAGCACGACAACTTGTGGTGTTTGGTTGCACAGGTGTTGGATGCAGTAATAACAGATGTAAACAAGCTCGGCTTGTTCGCACAGTGCGGCCCCTTGAAGGTCTTCGTCTCGAGGGCTTCTCTCCCGCCGACCTACACATTTCAGGTGCATGAAATGGAGCGCAAAAACTAAATATAAACCCCAAATCTTTGGCTGTTGCAGTGGACCTCAAATTCTGAGTATAAACTCTAAACCGCAGGCTGTTGCAGTGGACCCGACACCAGACCCTAAGCCCTTGCAGGGGGAACTCAAAATCTGAAGCCACGCCCGAAGCCCTATATTTTTGCAGCGGGCCCCAGTGCTGTTAAAGGGGCAAACTTATTGGCGGCGGCGCTGCTCCATTCCCGGTTGTTACTTGAGTGACTTCTGCTGTTGCGCCTGTCAGTGCTGCACCTTCTGCTGCTCCTTTGCTGCTCCTTTTTGTTGTGCGGATCAGGAAGAAGATGCCATGCCGAGTTTTTCAGACGGCTCTTTGGCTCTGCGTACTGGGGGCGAGATCCGCCTGAAGCTGCTGGGCGTCCGCTTTGAGGCTAGTCAAATATTTGCAGTTGCCACCACCAACGCAGACTACTTAGGGCCCATCGAGCCCAGAGAGACTTCAGCTGCGTAACGGAACCATACACACTTTTCCGCCTGCGAGTGCAGCTGTTTCAGCTGGAGCGGTAGCAGCAGAAAAAGTTGAAATCGACGGATGCAGCTGGCGCAGTAATAGCAGCTGCAGCGTTTGTTGCTGCTGCATTTAACTGCAGTCGCCGCTACTAGTGCTTTAGCTTTCGTAGATGCTGCTGCAGATTCTGCTTCTTATCGAGGCCCTTTCTATTTGCTATTGCTCCCAGGGGGCCCTAAATTGCAACTGAGCTCAACTGTGGGCAACGCGTTGTGCGGGCAACTGCACAGCACTGCTGGCGTGCTCGAAAGGTGAACAGGGACCATTGGGTTTAGGTTCAGTTAATCGGCAAACTGGCACGACGAACACAGGTCAGACAGCCTGCAGGGGCATGTAGCATGTTCAGTCAGCGTTTAGGGTTTTGGGTGTAGTGCTGAGCTCCTTGTGTTACACTCGAAAACGAAATGCCTTGCTTGTTGCTACTTGTTAAGATAATTTCAAAGAAAGCCAAACCTTCCGCCAAACGTCGGCCGGGTCTTGAGGCCTCAGGACAAGGGGAGAAAATAGGGACGAGGAAGGGAAACTACGTAGGGCACAGAAAACAACGGGCAGGGTAAAAACAGAAACGCGTATTATCCAGACAGCAACGTGAAATGTAGAAAACAAGGTGAGGCGTACAGTATACACCTACGGCGCGTCTGCTCTCCCTCACTGTGGCCGCCGGTGGAGAAGCTGCAACAATACCACGAAGTAGCTTTGGAGACCTGGATGCCCGAGCCTCTCTACAAGCCTGCGCAGGAGCGCAGATCAACACATATGCTCCAAAAGTGCACCCTGCGCCTGCAGCTAGCAAATGCTATGTTGATCCGGTTGCTGCCTACCAACAGCTCACCTCAAAATCTTCTCACACACGCCGCTTTCATAGTCCTTGAAACGCTCCTCGGCCTTGAGGTGTACGTACAATTCCCGGACCGTGTCCTCTCTACCAGGGCGGCCGTAGGCTTCCAGTAACTCAGCTGCTTCAGCAGGCGTTGCAGCGGCGAGGGCCTGTGCCGGCGGAACAGAAACTATTGTTTGCTAATTCTGCAGCAGCGGTAGCGCCTTGGGACTACCCCAAGCTATACGAACATTTCACGGACCTGCGAGGCGGTTGTATGCAGATCCCCAGGGAGCCCACCCCCCAAAGCAAGCAACTGTACTTCTGCTGCTGTGCTAGCGCCAAAGAAGGCAAAGACCCTCGTTTGGTACACCACAGGGTCACTACAGGGGAAGGAAGGTCGCTGGCGGGAACTCACTTCAACCAGTAGCCAGCTGCACTTCCCTTCGCGTATATCTGTGCCGGTCTTTCCCAGGGCGTCAGGACAGCCGAAGCAATCTAAGAAGTCGTCCTGCGCCTGCAATGCTCCTCATAGTACACACACTATAAAGGCATGAAAGGGAAAATGTGCTGCTACTGCTGTGCAGCTGCTGCAGCAGATTTCTGCCGCTGTGTTGCTGCCGCAGCTGGGGTTCTCAGGGTTCACAGGGCAGCAGGCAAGGGCAAGGGGATCCGACAAACTCGCTCAGCTTGGTGGAGGAGGGACTCGAACGAGAAACCAATGCAATGGGGGAAGGGACCGGGGGATTCCATGAGAGGCACGAAAGAAATACAAACAAGGAGGGACACAACGAAGAACAGGGACACCAAATCACTCACGAGAAGTAGTAACCAAGATGTGTGCAACAAGCGACAGACGAAACGAAGAAGCCCGCAACACGTGTAAACGAGGGGCAACCGAGCATGCAGACAATTCACAACCGAAACAGGAGATACCTGGAAGTAGTCTCCCGTGCACAGACATATTTCCTCGGCCTTTGCCAAGAGGGACTGGTCGCTCACGCCACTGTACAGAAGCCCTGAAACACGCACCGCGCAAGTGCTTGCAGAACTGTATGCACCTCCGTTTCCTGGGTTGCGGTGCAGCTGCGCGAGGACAGCTTAAGTCCATGCACACCTGCCTGCCTGTGTGGGGAGTCAATGCTAGGCAGCCTATCCCGTACCCAGAGCTGTGGGGAGCCAAAAGGAATAGTAGCTGGTCTTTAACCTTGCTGTTGCTTGCTGCCTGCAACGCGCTGCTGCAGTTAGCTGCTGTAGCGTGGCTTCTGCTGCTGTAGTTCCTTCCCGCAGCACCCGCAGCAGTTCCTCCTGCTGCTGTCGCTGTTGTTGCTGATGGCACGGCTGCAGCAATGCGTATATTCCCCCATTACTGTCGAGGTGCTGCCCCTGGACAGTGTTAAAGGCAACATCTTGTAGCAAGTCGCTGCATGCACTGAAGGAAGGATGCTTCCCGAGGAACTGTCTCAGCACTCTGTTGATCCAGCACATAAACACAAACCCCAACTCAAGTTTGGTGCAACCCCAAACCCCTCACAGCAACACCAGCAGCAGCGGCGCCGCGCCCGTTTGTCTTATCAGTAACACCAGCAGCATCTACAAGTAAGCAGTGAAGTCAGCTTAAACGAAGCGTTGCTGCAGCAGCGGAGGCGAACAGTAGAACAATAACAAGCAGCAGGACGACTGCCACACTCCCAGCCAGAAGCAGTGGCAGTGGCGGCAACTCTAGCAGCACCAATAGTACCCTGTGGGATGGTGCTGACTGGTGAATTGAGAAGATGAGAAACACTGCGTCGTTTATTGCGTTCGCTGGCCCCACTTCCTGTCTTCTGTACCAACAAATTTTGCCCCTCCGAGTGTACGCCCCATCCATCTGATCATCTGCAACCAAAAATGCAGCTTGCAGCAACTCCACCCCCCAACCCAACACGCAGGCCCCGGAATTGAAGGCTTCCTCAACTGCTGCTGCTCCAGCAGAAGCAGTCGCAGCACCGGTGTACACAGGCGCTGCTCCGCCACCTGCATGTGCTGTTGCAAGATGGAAGACAGAAGGCAGAGCAGCAGCAGCAGCCGATGCTGCTGTTGCTGCACCTGACTCGGCAGGCTGAGCGAACTGAACTTCTCGGTTGGCAGCTAGCGATGCGTAAACGGTCAACAACCCTCGCAGCAGCTTTCCTCCTGCATGTGGAAGCGAGCACATCACAGAACTCTGCATTCACAGACCGGCCTTCTAGCGCACAGCCAGCAACCCCAGCAGCACCAGCAGCTGGCGAAATCACAACTCTTCAAGCAAGGAGCAGCTTCTGCACGTTGTCTCTTGAGCACACCAAAGCCGCCCCCCCGCCTTCGCCCTTTAACCAACCCGTGCAGTTGTAGTCAATGACACGAGAATAATAATCCTTTAGGGCCTTCGCCTCCTCCTTGGAAGCGCAGGCAGCGATACGTGCAAGGACAGCTTCTCGTAACGGGCCTAACATCTGCACACACCAACACATTCAGCACGAACTAACTGCCCTCCAACTGCATGAAAATCACGAAAAAAGAAGCACCAGCAGCAGCAGAAGTTATACTCGCAGGAAGCGCTTCTGGTCCCGTTTGATATCCACCTCTACCAGACCGGCAGCGGGCTCCAAGTAAGCTGCATCTGCGTTCTGACCATCACCCGCCAGGCCAGGATGTCCTTCAAAGGATACCGCCTTAATGCATGCGGGAGAATCAGAAGCAGCTATCGTCGCCGTTTGTGGTTGTGCTGACGCTGCAATTGCAATGTCGGTCTGGCTGCCTAGCCCACGACAGAAGTTGCTGGGAATAGGAACCCAAGGTTGAACCACCCTTCCAGTTACAGCAGCGCAGGCCTTCACATGGGCCCCCCTAACAGTGGCTGAGGGAGAGAGATGCAGGGCCGAGGATTGTGGAGGTTTGGCAGCAGCTGCTGCTGCGGCAGCGGCGGCAGCATCAGTGACAGCAGCGGCTCCGGTCCTCCAGGGTAACACGGCGGGTTGCTCGGCTCCGCCTCCAGGAGGGACCGGAGGGACCGACAGAGGGAAGTTCGGGAAGAACCAACGACGTATGAGGCGCCTCAATAACATTAGTGATGCAGTAGACGTTCTTTTTGATGCACATCAGAAAATATTAACGGTGTTACTCGGCAACCTCCCCGGCCTATACTTAGCTGCAGCCAAAGTCCAAGTTTGATGGTGTAAGGGGGGGGGGGG